ATTAATTAATTAATTAAATTAATGCATTTGGATTAATGCTAAAGAATAAATTAATATTTATTAATTTAATTAAATAAAAAATACTTAATGTATGAAATGTACATGAGATACATGTCTTGAGTTCTTCACTTACTATGATAACTGTTACATAACTGTTGATACATAACTGTTGTCACATAAACTTACTAAATCAACTGCCGGGACTAGTAATATATTTTGATGGCTTCTCACAGCAACTTTAGGTGAAAAATTTTATTTTATACACAAAATTAGTATAGAGTATTGTTGACTTTTCGTGTTTTTACTTTCTTAAACGAAGTATTGTAACCGCAAAGAATTTCGGGAATCATATTTCAACAGAAAAATTCACTTTGATTGTCTTATCATAGAAATAATAAATAACTAAATATATACACAAAATACATCACTTGTATCATAAATAACTAAATATATACACAAAATACATCACTTGTATCATAAATAACTAAATATATACACAAAATACATCACTTGTATCATAAATAACTAAATATATACACAAAATACATCACTTGTATCATAAATAACTAAATATATACACAAAATACATCACTTGTATCATAAATAACTAAATATATACACAAAATACATCACTTGTATCATAAATAAATACACAGGCATAAATACATACACAAAATGATTAACTCTTACTATGGCAAAAATATATATACAGTATTTTTATCGCATAAGACTGTAACTCTTAATCTTAGTAAATCAACTATCCAAACTAATAATTTATTTTGATGGCTTCTCACAGCAATTTGACGTGGAAAAGTTTATTTTACTATTTATCATAACTGTGCCTGTTTCCTCAAATAAAAGATAATTGAAAATTCATATTCGAGTAAGATAATGCAGTACTTTTTTAACACAGGTTGAAGCAAGACTGGCACTTTGCATCAAAGAAGGCATATTAGGTATTGCGGGGTCTTGCTAATTTCTGAACTTCACCATGAATGGAATTCTGAGTGTCTTCTGTTCCTCATCCCCTACCACCAACTTCTTGAGAGGATTTATTCTTTCTGTGTGTGTTGAGTGCCCCTTACCACACAAGCACTATATACTTCATGTACTATATGCACTATATCCATGTCTTCTTTCAGAATTACTTATTGCAGCATCTTATTGACACAGGTTCAGGTTGAAGCAAAGCTGGCCCCTGTGCATACAGTTAGGCACTTGCTAACTGCTAAGTTTCCGTCTCGGATGGAGTTCGGAGGGACAGTATCCTAGGTTGCGGTCCGAGGGTCTCCACCAACCTTTTGATAAGACTTCAGCTCACCATGTATTTTGCTCTGCAGGCGCACTCAAAATGATTACAAACATTCATGTCTTTCTTAGGATTTGAAAGTGGATCCTTTGTTACAGCAGTCAGCATCACTAACCATTTTCCCATCTGTGGTGGCATTTTATTGACACAGTGAGATAGCCTGCTACATAAATGATGGATTATTTTATTGTTGAATTGGTCGACATGGATATTTCTGTTGAAATATGATACCTGATATTTTTTGTGAGTACAATACTTTCTTTACTTCATACAAAGACGTAAAAATAGTACATAAGAAAATTGATGCAACATACATTCCCTCAATCTACATCTGTTAACTTATTCAAATCTCTATCTAACACATTTCAATAAAGGAAATAAATAATAACAATTAGTTTTCTAAGGCAGCCTATATGAAGTAAGTAATATCTGACAACATTTGTTAATTGAAGAAATCCTGTAACTGCAACAGGTCTCTGCCCATACTAGAACTGAGGGTATGATTGAAGATTCAAAGAAAATTCAACGACAGAAAAACCACAAGCTTGAGAATTTTCCTTGCCAGAGGTCATTCAGTAATTATAGAATTAAGAATCAGACATAATTCAGGAATGAAAATCAATCCAGAAGTCACAAATTCTAATTCTAGGAATTGCCCAAACTGAATTCAGTCCTTATCTAAGTGTATCATGCAATATTGATATTGCCTCCGAACATTGATGGATATCCATAGAAAAAATTTATTCTTTGAATATAATTAAAAATATACGTATATAAGCATAATTAGTGTATGAGCACTATAGACTATTTTCATTCTTTGATGAATACAACATCCAAAACTGTAAATTATTTAATTCATTATACATTCTTCATATTTTATACTGAGATAAGTATAATAATGAGATAAGTATACGGGCAATTATTTGAAGTTTTATCTTTAGCAATAGTATTTCCTGATGTAAATTTAAATGGTGGAATGGCTAAAGTTTTGAATTGGTAGTTCAGCATTAATTATATTTTCGGCAAATAAATGGGCTGGCTCAATTTTATCCTTTTTACGTTCTTCTTAAAAAGTCTTCCACAAATACTTTTATTCTCGATAGGAATTTTAAGTACTTTACCATAGTTCAATCCAATTTGTTCTTACATAAAATAATAACTAAAAGGTTTTTATAAAAATGGTTTAGATATTGTGCAAAACCTTTAGCAATTTAAAATAAATTCTAATAATAAAAATGTTTTAAAATATTATTAGTTAGACTTTAGACCAGGGTTTCTCATTTGGGTTGATGAATTTTTAAATGGTCTCTATGATGGTCAACGATTCAATATCCAAATATGCAACGACAATTTATCAGCACAATCAAGATCCCACTGACAGTAAAAAAGAAGATAAGTAATTGTATATTAATATAAATCCTTATTATGCAAATAAATCAAGTCATATTCAAAACACATGAGTGCACTAAGTTTGGTAATTTATAAGCCATCTGAAAGAAAGCTCCCAAAATTAAAGATGTCGCCAAACCAATAATACAGAATTTTTCTTCCTCTTACCCACTGGAATGAAGCTTTAGTCAAGAAAATAACTTACTACGGAAAACAAGAAACAATTTCAATATTTCTAAACGAGCTGATTTAAGAATTAAGCAATTTTATGCCAAATATTTAAAATCTTATTTCAATAAACATCAAGTGCTGTCATTACGTTCGTTAAAATCAAACTCTGGGGCACTTAAAATTTGTGATTTTGCATCTTCTGCAAATTTATTTTGCATCTTGTTTATATCTCCAAAATTCAAAATAATAAAAATACAAATAAAGCATAAACCTAAAAAAAAAAACCATTCTTCCCAAACCTTTTATGCATATTCTTAGTCTAGCTCTATAATCTTTAAGCTATGTATGCACAATTATTTGTATTGTTATTATGTTGTATACTATATATTATAGAGAAAAATATAAAAGGGTTATTGAAGAAAAAGCCTGGGAATTCTTAATTTAAACTATAAATGTTTAAAAAAGTATTCTGCTTTACAGTGCTTCTTGGTATTGTCAAATGTTATATATATATATATATAACATTTATATATTATATATATATATATATAACATTTATATATTTTATATATATATAAAGAATGAAATCTTATGTAAATATGTGTGGCTACTTATCTTAATTTGTCTGCAGAAAAAAAAAACTCAGTAAACAACAAAATTATCTACAATAAAAAGCTTAATTGTGCAGAAAAATACAGCTTTTCATGAACTGAAGCTAAACAGAGTGTTTAAAAAATTCAAATAACGTAAATTTCAACTTATTGAGGAAAGTTAATATCGAATTTGAGTTCTACATTTCAGTGTTTATAGATATCAGAGGTGTGCTCTTCTGTTATTGGGACTGCATTCAGAAACGTATGTGTGTATTCAGAATATAATATGTGTCAGTATGTGTGTATATAATATATTTTGATTTATAATCTATACATACAAATCATGCATACCTACTTCCTGAATGTATTTTATATTTTCTGTTTAGTTTACTGTTACATACATAGTGACATAAAATTTTCATAGGAAAAAGGTTTCTCAAGTTTACTACTAAATACATGAGTAATTTTTTCTTTCAGGCAAACGATACTTTTTTTTTATTCACTTTATTCTCATATCAGTTTACCACATAATGAGGAAAAAACCATAAATTAATAATAAGCATCTTAATTTTCTATACTATTTTTCTTTCTGAAATGAAATTTTATGTCCTGTGACATAAACAGCGTGAAATTTTCAAACAAATTTTTGGATTAAAAGCTCTAAAGATGAGGATAAATAATATTAATTAAAAAAGTTATTCAAACTACATATAAACTTAGTACGGATCATTCATTCTCTCGGCAATACTTTGCTCATTTTCCTAAATAATTGAAATATATTTTCTTCGAGACAAAGCGGCAAATATGACACATTTAAAGTAACCCTATATATCTGCGCACGCGCAGCTGAACTTTTATCATGGGAAAAAGCACGGAATAAGTCTGTATTTAAAATCGCGTAACATCTTTCACCAATACAATGCTTCTTTTACTTGATACAAGGAAGAAAACGTATAAGAAGTTTGATTCCCATACAAAAGAATTTGGCTACGATTTTCACTTTTAAAATGTGCAAATTTTTTATGCCACTTTTAATTTGCCTTGAGGAATCGGTTAATTAAGTTAAACTAAGTCGAGAAAATAAATCAGAATGAAATGCAGTAAAAACTATGTATAATTTAATAGGCCGTACGAGGAAGTCATGGCGGTGTTGGAATCCGGTTTTTTTACTCCAAAAACCCAATAATTTCTATAAAGATCAAATTATATATTTTATAGATTTCTTATTTGTGTATTCTACAGATTATTCATGATATATTTATTTCATAAATCATCATTAAAACTTTAAGTTTAAAGGAGGATGAAACCCATATTTAGTTTTACTGCGAAACTAAATATGGGTTTCATCCTCCTTTTTGAACTAAGGACATGTCTAATTTTTTCATTTGTCCCCGAATCGGAACAAGATTTCTTTTGTGGAGAATGAATAACCAAGGTTCAAATCAAAAAACACTTTCTACCTATATCATAATTATAACTTTCGGAACACACTGTATAATTTGTATGCTTTCTTAACAATTTTTATTTCATAGTAACTTTTCCTTATTTAGAGAAACCTCGATGGGAATTTGTATAGCAACTCTTTTATCGCTTATGTGTTTTAGCGGTTTGCTTTTCATCAATAATATATGGATTCATTTTATCACCATTGGTGTATTCGGGTAAGTTTATTTTCATTTCTTATATTTACTTTTAAACACTACTACAGTTCGAATATAAAGTTCAAGCTCAAAATACAGAATAAATTTACTTAAATTTGGCAATTAAATAACATTACCAAATTAAAATTTTTGAAACAATTTGCGATGCCGATTATCAGGGACTAACTGAATCTTAAACCACGATGTCGAAAGCTCTGATTCCAGGATGAGATTAAGTTCCAATGAATACCATGCACTTTTATCTAAAGGTTTCGTCTAATTATCGCAAAATGAAAAAACTATTGTTTACATGAAAAACGTCGTTATGACAAATGGTTAAAAATTATGATATTGCTTAGGAGAAATGAATAAAAAATTTTATTTGATAATAATAAGATTATTGTTTCCAGATAGCATATAATTAAAACGAGTTTTTTTTATTATCATTTAAAATTTTGTAATATAATATCCAAGTTTGATTTAGAAGCATAAAAGGTTTGCATGATATTCTTTTTAATCCTACTCCAAGAAAAAGTCCAGAAACCACAAATTTTCTTCGTAGAAGACCAATACAAGTCTGTAGAAGCATAATATTTTCTTCGAATCGGTAAATCGGAAACATCAACTCGGTCTCCTTTGAAAGAATTCAAACGACAGATCTCACAATTGCGAGTTCGACGTAGTACCTACCAGTTACACTAAAAACACGAGCACTGAGGAATGTGATAATTCTTTTTAAACTAACCTTGTTAAACTAATTATCAGTAATAAAATGGTGGCTAATTAAATCAACGAAAAGCAAAAGATCACTGAAAGTTCAAATCTTAAATAACAAAATTTTACTTTGAGACATAAGGTATACACAGGTGAAGCACTTGTAATGATAAAGAGAACAGGGATATACTATAAAACGTTAGCTGTATACACAACCGCAGCGTTTGATGCCAGTGTTAAGACTACGGGAAATAAGATGAGACCATTATAAAGTCCTGAAATTGAAGAGCAATACATAACAATACCAGTCAGATCTCAAAGATTTCCCGGCTTGGGCAGTCTCTTTCTTCATTGTATGTATCATGCTGGGCAATAAGCATTTACAGCATGCACAATTACAAGAGCAAACGTCCATGTTGCCTACTGTAACTTGCTATTGCATCGGCTAATGATTGTAATCTACACTATGTGATTGTTATCTGAAATTTAAAGGTAATAGTTCAAACTTAATTTATCATTAAATATTTTCCTCTATAATTATGTCATAGCACATTACATTTATTTCAAAAGTGAGGGTATATTTCTGCTTCAACCTCTAGATATTCTTTTACAGTAATCATCTCACGTCTATGCTGCTTAATAAAAATTTCGTGTGGTTGAGAGAAAATTGTTGAAAATCTTTAATAATTACTTTCATCTTTAAGAATCTTTAGCTTTAGGGTGTACTATGAGAAGAGGAAAAACATCTTTAAGGTGACTATATTAATACTAGATATATTTATTTGAAACTAAAGAAGTTATCATTCATGTTTTGAAATACCTTAGTTTTGAGCAGTATTGTAAACTTTTACGATAATGATACATTACCTGGTAAAATACTTAATTTATTGCATGCTCACAAAAACCTAAATATCGCTAATTCTAACTCGTAATTACTGCTTAGAAAAAACATCTAATTTTGTGCCATTATGAATATTTCACCTCAAAATTTCTGGATCTTTTTACCCCATTCTCCTTTTCTAATGATATGTCAAAATGTCATTTCTGTCCCCCCCCCTCATTGTCGTCTCTGAAACAAAATCTAAAGTTTAAAATATTTCATGTTAGTATAATATAAAGGGACATATAAAGTTTTTAATTCTTTTAAACTTGTTCTATTACTTTTACACTTATCAATGAACTTTACGTAAAATATTTATATATGGATATAAATGATTACAATGCTGCTGCTAACTTATAAATACTAATAATGAAATAGCTACATATTACAAGGATTATTTTGCGAACAATTTTGTTGCCGTTGAAATATTTATTGTACTCAAAAATTTAGAAAAGAATCATTTCGCCTCGACATTTTTTGTGGATACCGAGAAGAAATAACGAACAGCAGCTGTCCCCCTCATTGTCGTCTCTGAAACAAAATCTAAAGTTTAAAATATTTCATGTTAGTATAATATAAAGGGACATATAAAGTTTTTAATTCTTTTAAACTTGTTCTATTACTTTTACACTTATCAATGAACTTTACGTAAAATATTTATCTAAAAATTATTAAAATATATTTTCTATAGTGGAAGAAATAGAAAAATAGAGCAGTGGTACTAATACATCATTAAATATTGTTAATTACGTGGCATATTTAAAGTCCCTTTAAATCTGTTATGACATATTACAGTTTCAAATTTAGAGTTGCTTTCTTTTGATCACAGCTATGATTGCTTCCTTTATTACTTTTGGAAAGCATTTCAGGAATATAAATGATTACAATGCTGCTGCTAACTTATAAATACTAATGAAATAGCTACATATTACAAGGATTATTTTGCGAACAATTTTGTTGCCGTTGAAAATATTTATTGTACTCAAAAATTTAGAAAAGAATCATTTCGCCTCGACATTTTTTGTGGATACCGAGAAATAATGAACAGCAGCGGCTTTATGTTATTTGAAAAAAAAAAGAAAAAAAAAAAAAAAAAAAAACCTTCCTCAGAAGACTGAGGAACACATTCTGTGGATCTGGGATCTGTGGATTCTGTGGATCTTAAGGGTCGGAGAAAATTGAAGGTTTATATTTATGGACTGGTTTGTGGAATAGGTTTACTCTGCTTTTCCATACGATTCATTTCTCAATTTATTTATACAAGTGAAATATTTCTATCAGTGAAAATAAGATTGTTAGTAAAATATTTGCCACTTCTAAAAACCTATGTTATAAATATTGTTGCGTTCGTATAGGTTCGTAATAGATTGAATGCACACAGGTCCGATGACAGTTTAATAAAACTTATTTTATCAAAAGAAACTTTTCAAAATTCTGGAACATTCCACAGAAATACTCGTACTGATGTTCACAATATCACAGAGTACAACCTGTAGTTACACTTCAAAAATACTAAGGATGTTAAACGCATCGCAATGCAAATCGCATCTGGCTGCTCTCATGGCGAGCCATGATCCTAAGCCCAACCATGATGTTCTTCCTCAAGATAAAAGCTTTTCCTATTGGAGTGCGCCTATGGATGACTATGAGGATGATACGATGACTATGAGGAGCCATGATCTTAAGCTGATGATACGATGATACGATGACTATGAGGATGAACATGGACCCTCTGATGATCATCATATCTCAGTATTCTGATCTTTCACTGAACTAACAATTCCCATCAAAAGCAACAACTGAGAACAGATGCTCTCTCTCCGTCCTTATGCAGTTTTCACCCAGTCACTGAGACATTTCTAGTACTTTCTGCTCCTCAAAATTACTGGAAAGCAATATGAATGTAGAATAAAGGTTACAGCTAATATAATGATTAATTACATTTATTCATTTACAGCATTACGGTGATACAGGGGTCGGACGAAAGTGTCGCCAAATGGTAGCCACATTTGGCAATTTTTCAATTACATTTATTCATTTATAATATTACGATGACACAGGGTTGGTCACCAAATGGTCGTCAAACTTTGGCGATATTTTGCGTTTTCTTGCCAAATGTTGCAACAAAATAAGTCTCCAAAACCGTTGTCAGCTTGGCGGCCCATTTACTGAATGATAAATGGCCTATTCTTACATTTCCGGCATAGCTTGTCTCTGTAGATTTTTCATGTTACATTATACAAAAGAATTCAACAATTTTACTTATAATTCCATTAAAATTACCTATATAAGTACAAAATTGTAACAATGTTTATAAATATCATCATTGCAATTAATTATATTTCTCAAACCCCTTTTAATATAGGAAAACTCACAATAACATATATTGGTAATCCTAAGAATTGATAAACTAACAATAATATAATAATAACTATTGGTAATCCCAAAGAACGCTATCCTCGTTAGATGGGAAATAGAGAACAGCCTCGGTAAATGTATAAAATTTTATTATACTTAAAAGGCATAAAAAAGGAAACAATCTTATCCGTTTTACACTGCTTAATATTGATTTCATTTATCTTTTTCAGATTCATTGAGGACAATCATTTCAGCAACCTTATAACTGCTCATTACTGTGAGTCTTTTATTGCAGCTTGAGTCCATCATACAGTACCAAAAGCCATCATCTTAAACCATGAAATCCTCCACTTAGGCTAAGTGGAAATTCCTGTCATAACTGGAGGTACCTGTCCCCGGTTGAGGACTAAATAAATAAATTATAAAAAAAATCATAAATCTTTCCTATATCATAATCATTTCCTGTCATAAATCTTTCCTTATGAAGAAACATGTTTCTGATGAATATCTCAATATTAGAGAACATTTATTTGAAACTAAAGCAATTATTATTGAGGCTTTGAAATATCTTTAAAGCCAAGTAGCATTAATAACACCCGAAATAAAATTCGAAATAAATAAGCATTATGTTTTGTTTATTTATCAGAGTGTATTCATGGCATACTTTGCTGTTTGTCGAAAATTTACTTTTGATAACGTGAAAGTTTCTGTTATTTTTAGCTTCTTTTTGATCAGTTACATTTCTGTTGGTTATGAATATGGTATTGAATTGACTTACCCAGATTTGGAAATTATATCGGCAAGTTTACTTACACTTTCAGCTATGGTAAGTGTGCATTCTAGAATAACTATATTATTATACCATACTATTGTAGTCTAAAATTGTACGCTTTAAAGGAGCTTTATTAGAGGATCAGAAATGGTTTTGATTCTCTTATTTCGTATCTAAAACAAGTTCACATTGCAGAGACATTAGGTTTATTGAAAAAGCCGGAGAAATGAAAAATTAGTTAAGTTTCTAAACTATGACAAAAATCTTCGATTATGAATCAGCTTTATGAGTTCTGGTTACAAATGAAAAATTTCAGAAAAATATGGATCATTGGAAAGCACTGCGAGGATAAGCTAAAGATGTCAGTTGGATTAATTTTCTCGACATCTTAATCTGTTTACTCAAGGGCATGTTTGGAATGTATTTGATATGATCAGTACTTATTTGATGATGACCCATTTTTGTTATAGACGCAAAATCAATGTCAAATAGCATTAAGAAATATATTTAATTCTTTATGTTTATATTTTATAAATTTAATATCATAACGTAACATTTGACTACGATGAGGAATTTTGTCAAAATATCTTTTTTTTTATAAGAAAGAAAAATTTACGGTAAATTTCATTATATTGCCCCATATGCATAGAATACGAGTTATTTATATCTTTACACTTTTCACATAAAGTAAACGATATCATTTCATTACATTTTATGGATAATCTTATGGATCGCATATTCTGCTCTTACGTAACATTATTCCCAACCATTATGGTGTAACTAAGGACAAGAGCTAAAGATGCCTTCAAAGAAAGCACATATTTTTTTTTAATTTCATGTGAAAGTGAGAAAACTTTCTAGTAAACGCTTTGACTAATCACAGTTTTCCGGCACAGATCTTTAGTTTAAGATACAATTCTATAGCAAGCTAAATAAAATTCTACAGCAAGCTTTTATGAGATTTCATAGTAACTTTTGTTTTTGTATCGTTCTTATTAAACAGCTCAAACAAATTACTGCAAATAGGATGAATTTCGAAATATATTCAGAAATAGTGTTACAAAGAAACAAACTTCTTTTAGAAAATGCGCTTACATCGAAGTTTATTTTAAACGTAGTATTTTTAAGTGTAAGTTTTACCTAATATACGAGAAATCTTATAACTTCATCAGTCGACATTGATTTAATTTAATTACAGGTAACCTAGCTCTGTGTAACCGAAAAGACAAACAATTATAATAATCTCTGTCACAATATGCAAAGTAAACCAATAAGGGCTTAGAATGTGTCTCCGTGAACTGAAGAACATTCTGTAGAAAGCAACCCATGAACCACGGCGGAAGGAAATGTTTACTCGATTGAGATCAACCGTAGTAGAAAAAGGAAAGCTACGATATATTCAGACACCACAACGGTAAATTTTTAGCGAATTCAATGACAAAATGTCACAAGCATGTACCAGAACTACGTAAAATCCGGGTGAAACTGCAAACGGCACTATGAATGCTTGAAACTTGCAATGGATGTTTGAGACCAATGAGACTGGTCATAAAGAGGAATCGTAGCACTAATATGTACCAGATGCAATAGTAATTTAAGAGTATCTAGCATCAAAGAAAAGATATATTCAAAGGTATTTTATAGGAGTAGAGCCCAGTAGTAGTATGGTGCGTACTGCTAAGAGCTGTCAGTTACATGTTTTTAATAGATTGTCGTTTCAGAGCAAATAAGCAGATCGCTTTTACTTCTAATTTTAAGGTAATTCTTCAGCTGTCAAAACTATAATTATCCATTAAAATGCATATAAAGAAAAATCCACCTATTGCTTGATTCACTGTTCTGTTTACTAATTAATAAATGTGAAATTTCTTATCGTGAAAAGAAAATCTCTTTCAGGTATTTGGAATTGCTTTAACTGAAATATCTTCTTTTATAATGACAAACGTAAGTGTTCTCGCTTCTAATGGAGTTTTGTGCATCAATCTGTTCTTTTGTTGCATTTTGTCAAGTAAGTATTCATTATTGTTTACAATTTCTTTTTGAAAAGTAGTAAAAGTTTAACTACAGTGATGTTCCTTTTTTTCTCCAATTCAGTACTGTGCTGTTTACCAGAATGCTTTACACTGGTGTGCAAAAATTAAGGACGAGACGGTTTTTTTTCAATATAACTTTGTACAAAAGCCTTCCAAATCAACACATTTAATACCGTAAAATCCCCAATACGTAAGGACATGAGTAATGTAAGCAACACTTACTAAAAGAGAAATCAGAGGGATAAAAAGAAGCTTTATTGAAAAAGTAGCATGGAGCGCAATGGATGCGACTGAAGGCCGAAACATCCCTGTGATGGGTGTCCAGCAAGAAACATCCGGTCTTTAATAGGGGATATGATCTCCCCTCACTGCTAGGCAGGTTTCACAGCGTCTGCCCATGCTGAGAATGAGGGTGTCAATGAGTTGTTGAGGCATTGCTGCCCATTCGTCTTGCAGCGCCAATCGAAGCTTCGGAATCGTTACTGGTGGTAAGGTACGAGCTGCCAAGCGTCTGCCTAGAAAATTCCATACATGCTAGATGGGACTGAGATCCGGAGATCGTGCCGGCCAATCCATACGTTCAATATCCGCCCTCTCTAAGAGCTGTTCGGCAGCTATTGTGCGATGACATGGTGCATTGTCGTCCATGAAAAGGAACTGCGGACCCATAGCGCCTCTAAAAAGACGCACATATGGAAGAAGAATCTCGTTACAATAACGGGTCCCGTTGACTGAACCTGCGTCGAAGATGTGAAGATCTGTACGACTACCAAGCATGATGCCTCCCCAAACGAGAACACCGCCACCTCCATACCTGTCCCTTTCAATGATGTTCGAGGCATGATTGCGGCTTCCCCGCTCTCTCCAGATGAGTATGCGATGAGAATCGCTACTCAGACTGAATCTGCTCTCATCTGTAAAGAGTACTCGTCCCCATTCATTTTCTCTCCAATTCCGGTGTTCCCGGCACCACAGAGAACGCCCTCTCCGATGGGCAGGCTTTAGAGGTACACACCGTACAGGGCGTCGTGCAAACAGACCACCACCGTGCAGTCTTCTGGCCACGGTAAAACGCGATATCGGTCGTCCAGTCGCCTGTTCGTGTGTCTAGCGATTTCTACCGCTGTCTGCCGCCTGTTTCTTCTGGCCTGTAAGGCAATATACCGGTCATCTGCGGGTGTGGTTCCTCGTGGACGACCACTAATAAACCCCCGGATAGCTGTTCCTGTAGTTTGAAATTGTCTCCAAAGTCGTGAAACGATGCTGTGAGCAATTCCGAACTCTGCAGCCACATTTGTCACACTGCGGCCTTCCTCCAACTTCCCAATGATTCGACGTCGGGTAAAAGCATCCAGATGTCGTCTAACAGATTGATTATTCGCCATTTCTCGCTGAGACAGCAACTCGGTGTGATTTTAACTGCTATACGGCGTGCAATCTCTTTGCCAGAAATACTGATCTTACACCGACAACATGCTTTATACTACTCAGACACTCCCCCATTACGTCTACCTGCATATCTGCGCATGTGCTACCGTACATCACCTTACTTAATCTCCTGATTCGTCTTTCTGTTCACTCTGCCTCTTCGTTCAGCTGATATGCTAATTTTTCGACTTCGTCCTTAATTTTTGCATACCAGTGTATATCTTACAATCTAGAGTTAATACGGTAGTATTTTAAGCGAAATTACGTAACTCTGAATTGTTTAACTAATTGAAATAAACATACCGTCAGTAGTATCCATAGTTATCACTAGAAACAGAAAATTTGTTCACATTTTCTGAGATACTAATGTTTCATTTTCCCTCGTAACATTTTTTACAGTTCTTTAAAATGCCTTAGAGATGTAAACAGTAGAAACTCGAAATGAATGGCAATGTATGTTTTGAAACCATTGAAGAAGATGATGTTGGAAAGTCTGACATGATGCTTTCATTTAATTTACATCAGTCAGGGTAGCATGAAATAAGCAACTCATGATCAAGTGTGGAGAGACATCATTATATCTCATGAGTGCATTAATCGCAATGATATTTGTTTCTACATGATATTTGTTTCTATTATGGGTCACGTTTTGACTATTAATCGTTTATCCGGTGAGAATAGCATTGCGAACATTATTTTGATCCTAAACTGACAACCATAATAAGCGCATAAACACCGCACTTCTACTGTAAATTATGCATGATTCGCTTTCGAGAGTGGTTGGAGGAAATGAAGCATTTCATACCTTTCGCAATACCGATCCTCTTGAAGGGACCCAAGATCTAGTAAACTTTTTACATATATAAATGACTCTAAAAGCCTATACGTTATTTTAAGAAATAGTCATGTGCAGCAATCTCATGTCTACTTCCCAATGGAGAAGTACTTCCTGTGCCACAGCTAGTTGTAAATTATACTTTAGGTGAAAAGTAACGCATTGCGTCAAATAATCGCAAATGCGAAAAAGAGCTAAGATTATATTCCTTATTTATTAAAAGGTACACTGCGTAAAAAAAAAAAGGGGGGGGTCGACACAGTTCTATATTTCCCGTTCTACTGAGCCGATTGCGAAAATTCAAATTGCATTTTTCATATCTCGAAAGCGCGACTTAGGATATACTATTCTAACATAGGTATTTTGACACAAAATCGGGCTTTTCTGAAATAACATATCAGTTTTTTCTATAATTCGATTCTATGACTCAAATTATGTCAGACTACTAAGTTTTGTAAAAATCGTACGCCTAGTTTTTAAAAAATGAGCTCTCAAAATTTTAGCTCCTCAATGTTAATTGAACTTGGTTTACATTTATTAATATCAATTTTTTATTAAACATTTTTGATTCTTCCTTTCCCATTTCGAAATTTAGGTTCATTCCAAATAAAATTCACCCATTTTTTTGTTTTATTTTTTAAATTTCTTTTTTTTAAATATTTTTTATAAATTTTTCGAAAAAACTTTTGAATTATAACCTATAATATTTTTACCACCATATTAAAGTAGGTGTAGTTCTAAGCATACCTGCAAAAAATTAGAGTTTTTTATTCAAAATTTTCTAAGATATACACAAATTTACATATTTGCGCGTTTTGAAATTTGGCATTTTTTCCCTGAGTTATAATAACGCCAAATGTGGTTTATGGATTTTGTTACGGTGAACTGCCACAGCTATTTTTAACCTTAAATTTTAAATACATTTTTACGGAGAATTAATTATATGAATTATTTTCTCGCAATGATGCGTATTAAATATTTATTAATACTATATTAAAAGCTCTTTAAAAAAATTATAGATGACATTATTCAAATTTTTAATATTTTTATTCTTTCTTCCTTTTCTTTAATATTTGTAAGAGTAAATTTTTACCTTCGCCGTGTTATCGTCTGCTACTTTACTTTAACTTCATTTAAACTGACTTGTCTAAAACTGAGAAAGTTCGTTTGATGTTTATTTTCAAAATGTTTTTAAGCAAACAGGACTTTGAAAAGTTGGAGCATGTCCCATCTTTAAAATATATATATATAAATTTTTACATTAATATATCTAAAATCCTCGTAGAAAGAGAGAAGAAAGAATGTTTTAAGTAGTAATTTCCTCTAGTATTGTAGATTATAAAAAAATCTTCTTTAAAAAGAAATTATTAGGCTTAAAATTCTAAAAATATGATTTAGATTGTTTGCATCCGATATAAGAGTCGGGGGTCATCGGTCGGTGGTACAGGTACAGGATAAGCGCTGCTGGAGTGGTTTATTTCTTTTTCATTTAACAAAAATCTATTAATTCAAATATTTATTCTTTGGACTTTGCTTTAAACTTTATTTATAGTTAAAATGTCTAAAAAATTAAAAGTTGTCTTCAGTTGAAACGCATTTGATGCAAACTGATATTTTAAAAAAATTTCACAAGAATGCAAAATTTATTGAAGTGTAAAAATCGAAAAATCTTAATTTTCTTTTGTCAGCACTGAAAAATGAAAAAAAATATGCTGAAGGAAGGGAAAAAAATTAAAGGGGAATCTACTTCAAGGAAGTTGGGCGTTTCAAGAGAGAAAACAATTGGACCAGCAAATAGCAGCAATTGAGTTTGTGCTAACGGATAAGACAAAAAATTAATTTAAATTAATTCACAGCACATCATATTATATCATAAACGGAGTATCCCATGATTTCTCAGTCGAATTATTTGAAGATTCCGGAATTTATTCGGTGACGTATACGGATATCATCTAAAAACGTTTTTCCTCTTGATGATGAAACCAGTCTTTCCTTTCATCGCATGCCTTCAAAATGTCTAGCGTCTAAAGACTGATGATAAGGTTCTGAACCAAAATACTGATGATGAAATGGATTGAATTGGATATTAAGTTGCGGCAAAGCAGGGCTATCTTCTTAAAAGGAAGTATGCCTTCGTGAAGAACTTTCTAAGCGAAACCAGCTCGTATAGACGTTACACATGAGAAAAACCTCGAAAACGCCCATGCAACCATCCCGTTCGCCGGGATTCGAACCCCGAAGCGAACTACTAGTGTTCAGCGACTTTACCGCTCGGCCGTTTGTGGTTCCTTTTCAATGGAAGGCGATAACTTTATTTAAAATTAATATCAGAAATACCAAGATGTTTCGAAAAGTTTAGATGCTTTTAATATATTTGCAGAATGCCTGAAAAATAAAAAGAGCTAGAGCTATATTAAGAAGAAAAAAAATAAATTTTTGCATAAAAATTTAGTATTTTTTTTAAATTTTATGATATTTTATTCTTGCAATTGCGATTTCAAAAATAAAATGTTTGACTAAAATATGAATAACGTTTTTTTAAAAAATAAATGTAGTATGATAAAATTGGGTAAGGTAATAAAGCAATGGGCACAATGTGTTAAAACTGTTTAAAGCAATGTATGCAACTCATCGTAATCTAAATTAAAATGTCGGTTTATACATCCCTCTTATTAATATATCTTTCTGAACGAAAAATTGAATAGCGTGTTAACTGTGCTTTACTGCATTTTCTCTTTTAATATATGCAATTTTCAAACGCATCGTAGTCTGGGTCACAAAGTATTCTTCAGCATTTTGTGTCGTCTCAAAGTCATGGCAATATAGTATCCAACACAGCGAAACCTTAAAAAAAATCTGATGTTCTTCATACATAATTAATTACCTTTTTTTTTTTTTTTTTTTTTTTTTTTTTTTTTTTTTTGTACTTTTACAGGTTTCATGACAACTGAATATAAAAGAAGCAAGAAAAATGTTGATGAGACTGTTTCTACCCCTTAAAATCGCACATACTTTTTATTCCTCTTGGAAAAAAAAATACCGAGGAAAATTATTTTTTGATATGATGAGTTGACATTGGATTTCATGTTCTCTGTGATATCAGATATAATTTGTAATCGATAATGATATTAGAAGATAAGAGGATGATCTTTTATCGAATATAATAAGATATAATTTGATTTTGAAAAAAATGGAAGCTATCTTGAAAGCAATTAATTTGTTTAATTTTATGTATACTATTATGACATGTTTCAGATATAATATTAGAATTTTTTATTGTTTATATACAGAAAATAATGGTGCTGATGCCAGATCTACTGATTGAATTAAGTGTACTTCTTCGAAGTTTTGTTTCAAACAACGTTTCATGGATACAGGAAGCAAACATTTTAAAAGCAATAGATAATGCCTCATCTTTCTTTTGAATGACAAATTTTTGAACATCATAGTTGACAAAATGAAGACTTTCTTTAGAGTTGATATCAAACTAAAAGATTTTGTGACAGAAAAATACCATTTAATGCTTTATTTCAGGAGACAATCAGAAGCTTTCTTCAAGCAAATATTTATCACAGGAGGATAATTTTAATTTTCTAGAAAAATGTGTTTAGCCTCTCCATATGAAACCTGCGAAAATAAAAAAATTAATTTTAATAGTTTTCATATCTGTGTTTGTGTGCAAATTATCAGTCATTTCAAATATTCAATAAAGTTTTCTCGTAAACTATATGTCACAGAATTCCCTTCCTTTGGATAATTTTTATCTACTCAAAGTATGAAAGATGACTATGCAGACATTATGCGTAATTAAAGGGGTACTCTGTGTGGCTACAATTTGCAAAATAAAGAGTTTCTAGAACCCGTTTGTAGCCCATTCTGATTCAAACTGTTTTGCAAAATTATCAATGTAAAATTTTTAGGTAATCATGTAGTATCCGATCTACCCCTTTCAGTTAGTTATTTATTATTTGAATGATAGCACTCAAACTGATTGTTTTTTAATCCTTTCTTTCGTCTGCCAATATTATCCCTCCATCGAATTTAAAAGTAGCCTTTTATTGGTACCATTTAGAAATAAATAACTAACTAAAAACGCTAGATCGCGTACTACGTGATTACCAATATTTAAGTATGCAGATCTTAAACCGTGACATTAAACAACTATTATTATTTTATTGGTAATATTTACATATTTTGTTTGTCATCATAAAATACGGAAATGTGAAAAATAAGTACATATTATATATATTATATATATATATATATATATGTACTTATTTTTCACATATATATATATATATATATAATGTTGTATGATCTTAAATCCATTTAGTGCGAAAACAAGTTATTACTATTTGCGCAATTGCTGCAAAGTTAGTTAATAATAATTTAATAATTTATTTCCTAAACTGTATTGATTAATTAATAATATTATCTCCTAAGTTTAAAGTAGAATTATTTTAAAAGAGTGAATCCATACTGGTAAGTTATATTTTGAAAGATGTTTTGAAGTAATTTGAAAGCAAACTGTTAATAATGTTTTAACGGGGACTGGAGTTAAATCATCATGAAGAATAAAAGTTCAATTGTAAAAGGAAAATTTAAAAACATGTAATCATTGTCATTGATCGGAAATTAGTTGACTTTTCAAGGGGAACAAACCAACTCCCGTTAAATGAACAATAATTGAAAAAATACGTAAATACGAAAGTGTTTCGTCTTTACTCGAGTTATAAGTTAAAGCCAAACCGGCAATTCTAGTCAGGCCAAAAATTTCCGCGAATAGAAGGGATTATGAACCAATGCTGATACTCAAAGAACTTATTCTTATGAAGCATTTTAGTCAATTCAATTTGGAGTAAAAAGCAATTACTGTAGAGAAATCCTAATTAACCCGAGTAACCGCTCCGACACTTTCATGTTTATGCATTTGAGTTCTATATTATTTGTAAAAATTAAACATTGGAAATTGTCATTATGAAATCGAATTCAAGTAAAGTTGAAATAAACATAGAAGATTACAAAATAAGATAAATAATGCAAACTTTGTAAAAACAAATCAAAGACAATATAAAAATAATATAAAAATAATATAAAGTAATATATAATAAGAACAGTGAATGTACATGAAGATAAAGGCCAGAAAAGGTATTAAGTAACTTACATTCTTTCTAGTGGGAGAGTTGGCAAAGTGTTCTCTTCGTGTCTGACTCATAAGTGTAGGGTGTCCGAAAATTCTTAGCGGCAGTGGGGCTTTGAATAATATCAGTCGGTAAGACTTGGATGAAGTAATTTATGGTAGTGGGTGGGACTTGGAATTCTTGAGGGATGTATTATGTGGAGTTCTTATTCTGAGTGAGACTGTCTGTTAAGATTTTTTTGAAAATACTAGTGAATGGAAATTAATTAATTTCTGGCTAATTGTCGTGTCGCAATGATTAAGAATTTAAGAAAAAGAAAAAGGAATTTTTCACTGTCCAAGAGCTATTAGACTAAAGTCATGAAATAGGCCCATTTTTTTAGTAACAGTATAAGTCTGAAGACAATTAGCTTTTTACAATATATACAATTGAGTAATTACACTATATACAAATCCTTCAACTGACAGTCATCCAACTTATACCGCCTTCTCAGGTTTAGGAACAAATTATCATATCCCTATCAGTTAAATGATTTAGAGTGAGTATTTAACGCCTGCTCTTTTAAGGCAATGTTTGATAAATTGAATGGGAATTAGATTATTTTTGAGAATTTTAATAAGTAGTAAAATTTCGCGTTGTAAATCTATTGTATCTGTGCATATAATTTTAATTCGTTGTATTTGATTAATTATAGTATTGTTAATTACTTTTTTGGATATGTTGGAGTTCCAATTTATTAATTTGTTAGTATTGAAATTGAAGTTTCTTGTTTTGTCAAAAAGTAAAATTTTTTTGTAGTTAATGATTTGAAGATCTAGAAAGTCTATGCTATTTTGTGAATTATTAGTTTTATTAAGTGTAAGATAATTCGGATAAATCTCGGAGTGTTCAATTTTATCAAAATTATTAATTGTAATAAGGTCATCAATATATCTGTAGGTGTGTTTGTAGTAATTTAACTCTTGTGGTTGTAGATTTTTTTGGAAATTAAATTCTTTGACAAATAAAAAGATATTACAGATCGAGGTGCTGGAATGTAAGCCCATTGGCAATCCTCTGACTTGTTTAAAAAGTTGATTTTGAAACTTGATGTAGTTATGAAAAAGTGTGCTGGCTCAATTAACTGATAAATAATGTATTGGTTATACTCTTTTATTCAAATATTTTATAAAAAAAAGTCATAGCCTACTCTAAGAACCAAACACTCAATTATTGAATGAAATTTGCGTTAATTAAATTTGGATATTACAAAGCATTAGCATACTCTGCAGTTCATGTGTTAAATTGCATACGAAATGAAAGCATCATTCGATCATTCTGTGCTATGTACTTTGAACAAAAGCCGTTTGAGCAAACAAACCTCTTTTACCAGAAACTAGATTCTCATACTTCAACTAGTCAACATTCTTAACTGTTTGACTTCATATCCTCTAACTCCTTTTTAACCCATAAGGGCAATTTACCCAGAAAGGCTATTCATTTTTTCATTTGAGCAGTCCACTATAAAACAGCGTTTCACTTTTCAAATTGTTGCCACTAAATATTACAGGCATGCATTATATTTAAAGAAATTTTCAAAAAATAAAAAAATTGAAAGCTTTCGGATTTTATATCACGCCCAAAGGAGCCTTTTTTTTCTTTTATCGAAATGGTTTTACTGTGTCAGCATTTTCATACAACCCAAGCTTTCCAAAAACGATGCTGTGGTCAGTGTACGGCAAATACAAAAGCATGCCTTTTAACACCTTATCCTTTCCAGGAATATCAAGAGCACTGGAGCAGGTTTGTGTGTTCCGATAAACGCTGTTTTATAGGCGATTCTGTAAATAACATTTTACATTTTACACAGAAAAAAATAAGTATTTCCCGCAAAAGCTTTGAACTTCAGAATATTTGAAAACATAAATAAAAGATATTCTTGCACGAGCGCTACCATTTCCCGTTTTTCTAAGACTTGACTTCCTTCACGATTTGAAAATAATAAAACCTGACGACTTTTAAGTGTTACAAGAAAACTAAGTGTTAAGAAAAATCAACAAACATTTTATTTAAAATGAATGAAACATCTAAAACTTCTTCATTGCATTAGTAAATAATGATTTTTTAATAAAATTTATAATTCTTTATACAATGAATATATATTCTTTTCATAATAAGTTAAGATTCCTTTTTTTCACATGCATCGTAAATTGTTAAATTAAATACGTAGTTCACAAATTTCCCTATATTAATTTCTGGATAATCATTTTCATATCTAAATAAGTTTATAATTTAACCCTTTGCGGCACAGTGTTTCCGGTCTGCACACATCTAAAATTTTCCTTCTGTACGCACAGAAAAATTGAATGAAAAGGGATTTATAGGTTACTCTGAACCTTCTTTATTTATAGTAGATGGCAGCTCAACACAAACCAGTCCATATATTTTAGCCATGTTTAGGTTTTTAAGACCCTCATTTTCCAAAGAAATCTTCCAGATTTTTTTAGGGTATAAAAGGAATTGTTTGAAAAGAAATTTCTATGTTATCTTTTTAGCTGTATGCTAATCTCCTTATTCTATATTAGTTTTAAATTTTTACCTAGAAATCTTGCCTAAAATCAAACGGCGAACCCTAGGTGTACCCAGACCGGGCTCACCAATAATCTAGGACAACTGAGAGTCTGTATTCCTTGTTTTTCCGCATCTCATCGGTCAGTTCATTGACAACAATGTTCGTTTCAGCACTCTTTTCGAAGCTCTATTCAATCAGTGTCTCCACTTTGGGCACACCCACAGAATTAAACGCTATCTTCACAAAATTTTACTTGTGTACTCCTCTAGGCCTAACTAGACTGCCTATTTTTATTTATTTATTTATTTATTTATTTAAATCAAAACTCTAACTTTAAAAGGTAGCGTGCGGGAA